CTTTGTGATTTTAAAACGTAAGACAGTACCCAGATTTGAAGACTACAGTAAGATTTAACTTCTACTGTTAATAAGATTTTGGTAGGCTACTATTAGATGGATAGCCTAAATGTGCTAATTCAGATCGGCTACCTGTTTTATTTTTTTTTATGGTATATCAAAAAGTGTATATTTTTTAAACGTGATTGTTGGTACATTTTACCAGTTTTTACCATACTTTCAAAACAAAAATTAAAATAGGAAAAATATGCAATATGAAAATAATTGAAGACAAAATGTGTTTTACTGAGAAAAAAACAGATTTGGTTTTTAAAAAGCCTTTTTCCAAAAGGTACATCTGGAAAAAGGGGGGTCGTCTTATAATCAGGGTCGTCTTATATTCGGGCCAATATGGTACTACACAGAGCCGTAGTTCTCTGACAAGTTATGCAAAATAGTGTTCATAATCGCAGACGATATAATCGTAGGATTATGAAATCGACGAAATCGCTTGCGATAATGACAGCTGTTTGCGTATCTTCTCAGTGAACTACGGCTCTGTGTAGTAAATGCTGCTCCATCTGAAAGCACGTGAAAACACCACATTTAATATGTTTTTACTCCAAACTCACTTCATAACGTCAGTCGAGTGTTTGAAATAAATCCTTCTGTGAGATGTTGTGGCTTCTTACACGGAATAATTAAGGTACACAATATTTCATAGTATTCTAAGCAGTGATGATGGTTATGTCGATTAGCATTTCATTATAGATACAATTTATTATGATGTAAATTATAATAATAAGAACCCAGATAAACCATATATTGCCGTAGTCGTGTGTTTATTAGTCACGCAGTTAAATCTTCTGTTTATTCAGCAACCGCTGTAGGGATTTCCTGGATTTCTTCTTCTGGGCATATTTGGAGTTTCAGCGCGAGAGCGCCCTCTGGCCTTTGGGTGGAGATTTACTACTGATCACAGAACTGTGCTTCAAGAGCTGTTTGTGATAAGCTTTGGTTCATCACATGACTTTCTCATCACCACCTGTTTTTGGTGGTTATCAGTATTACAATGGTTCAAAACAGATATTAGTACTTCAGTATGCTGGTTTATTAACATTACAGCAGTTAAGAAAATAGGTCTTTTGTTCATTGTGAATTTAAGTTAAGTCTGTAAAACCATAACGGGGAAGTTCTGGCAACCACAGCTGCCGGTATTTTATATATATATATATATATATATATATACACACACATACACATAC